AGCAACGAAATAATGTTTAAATGTTGTTGGAAGTATTTTATTGTACAAGATAACGAACATTACGGAGGATATTCCATCGTTAACGTTTCTCATCACAGATTAGCCCGCGGGTACTAGAATAATCAAAATAATGGCATAAGTAAGAATCACGCAAAAGAAAGATAACCAGTCGATAATAGCAGTAAAATATTTCCAGGACGATTTCTTCGTGTTCATTTCAGATTTTGAAACATCTGAGCTAATTTCTTCAGTCACTATATCTTTGTCTACCATTTTGGACTCGTCGTCTTTGAGAATCAAAAAACGCCCCGTCTTGTTGCTCAAGACAATTGTTGTAGTGAAAGAGATCCAATTTGGTATCTGCGTGCTCATAGCTTCCAGCTTGCGTAACACGGCCGTCAGGATTATCGCGAAGGTGGCCAACGCCAAAGATTCACAATAAAATATCACTGCAAGAAGGACACTAAATGTGTAAGCTATTGTTACTGTAGTATAAATATAACTAATTTTCAATTCAGCATTATTTTTTAATAGATCAGAAAATTAATTATTTAATTAATTGTTATTAATCTAATACAGTTATGAAAAAAAGCACGTTGAAATTATAGATTAGGGAATGTTTTTAACACGTTGTATTCTTTGACTCTTGTGTTCTATAAAATCTAATTACTTACGTATATTGGGGGGATTAACGCCGTTGTACGGTACAATCCAATGCACGACGTACATGCAGAGCAAATGACAAATAAAATTTACGCTCGCGATCGCCATTCGTTCAACCGAATTTAAATCGAGACAGAGCACTATTAAAGTGAGTAATATCAAAGCTGAAAAGAAATGTATCACGCTTATTATTAATTATTACCTGCATTTCTACGTTTGCGATCAATTACTCACCAATAGCCGGTACGATAGCAATTGTATAGTAATTGCTGTGATATCGCGTCAACAAAAAATCTAAGTTAATCGTTGAAAACGTATCGTCCGAACAGCACTTTTCCTTTGTGACTTCCTTCGTCGAATTTATAAACTTAAAATCCCACACCGTGTCATTCGTGTAGTCCTTCATAGAAATCTGCGAGAAAGGTATCATCTTTTTACAATAGGAATATTTGCAATTAGTAGATACTATTAAATATTATAATTTTTTAATATAAATAGTAAATTTTTACATAAATAAGCAGTCATTATAAAAAAATATACATACTAAATACGTTATATAAATCTCTCATTAATCTTAGATGCACAAACTTTTTACAACGTGTAAATTTTTCATTATTTTATTAAATCAATATTTGCGTACCGACAATATATTATTCAAGGAAGTGGAAATTAACAATCTAACTAATAATAATGATAGATCAAATATACGTTTTTGTAAAGGAAGGGGGGGTGCTAACTTAACAGACAGTATCAAATATTTAAGGAATTAAATAATTTTCGATTAAAGCGCATACCTGATTTTCCACATCATCACCAAATCGACTCATCATTAGCAAATCGACCTCTTGACCCGTGTGCGCCCATGATAAAAACGTGACGCGACATTGATGTTTATCGTAAGGCCAATGTGTATAATCAAAATTGCATTTGGCAATAGATTTCACCGCGGGCACACAAGTGACAGTGCCCGAGTTGTAGAGCAAGCAATTCGTTTGAGGTAGTTCAAATTGATCTTTCGACATCTCGCCACTAAAAAAAGACGAAAAGATTTAAAAGCGTAACGTGAAAAATTTTTATATCACGTTACCCTATAATAATAATAATTATATAAAAAATAGATTTTGAAGGATTATTACTGATTATGAAGGGTAAGGATACAATTAATTATAAGGTAGAGGATAGGATTAATTTTTCAACTTACGAATTGCTTATTCTCAGGTTGGGCGTCCAGATCTGCGAGCTCTTTACATGAGCAACAGTAATCCCGTCATAATCGCTCGGTGTCCAAGTAAGTTGCGGGTCCGTCCATGACTGTCAAATAAATACTATATTGTATTAAATTTATTATATATTTTACCATTAGAGCAAGGATGAGGCATGATGACAAAGAAATGATGCACTCACAAGTGCCATCCAGCTGTGCAGTGACAGCTTAGCTTGGTCTGTTTCCTGTAAACAAAATAATTTAACAATTAAAACACGGTCAAAGCGGATCTTGGTGCTCGTTAATATTTTGATGTTGAATTTTCGGTTCCATTAAAAAAATTATTTAATTTTTTTTCATACGTCACACACAACATATTATTAAATAGCTATTAAATAATAGTGAAAAAAATGAACTTTCTACAAAAATTTGCATCTTGATGACAACAGCAAAGCTTTTTTTGTTGAAAAATATATTTTATATAAAGAAGTAAAATTTTAAAAATTGCTATAAATTTGGAGAACAACACTTATTATATAATTTTTTAAATTAGTAATTATAACTTATATATTGTAATATTTTTATGTACACTTACGAGATTTATTAGCTTCGGCATGAAGCGCAAACTGACATTGGTTGTTTTGGGATAATTTGGATGGATAGTCTTATCATAATCGCAAAAGAGATGATTGCTAAGACGCAATAATAGCGACAAATTTTCAATACTCTTGCATTGCATCCACACATCTGTTTTAATGGGATATGAAAACATGACTATGAAAACATTGAGATATATACCTATATATATATACTATAATTATATTTAAAAAATCGAATATAACGATATAACTGACGACGGATTAAATTATTTCATTTAAATATAATTTTCTACTGAAACAATTTACAAAACGAAAAAATCGTAATATTTAAATTTTAGACAAAGTATCACTAACGTAACTACTACATTGATTGACTTGAAAATACGCATATTGCGCGAATAGTTCCATGTTAATCCAACTGATTGTCTTACGTACTGAA